TAAACACCGGAATTATTGGCGCTCTTGCCGTGACGTCAAAATACACGACTAGAGATATGACATTTTAAATCAATATGGAGTTTGAGTGATTGATTATTATTCAATTACCCAAATCGATTTACACCTAATCGATTTATTTAAAGTATAATAGACGTTTTTAATAAATCATATAGTTTACCAAATTGATTAAATAAAAACAAAAGCCTACAACATCATTAAAATTGTAATCTGTTGTTTATTTTGCTACATAATACGTTGATGTTATTGCATCGATGTCAAATTTTTGTAACAACGACATCCCTGTACGTGTACATTTTCGTCACATCCGTTTTGACAAGTAGCATGGCGTTTGAATATTTTGAAGTTACCGCATTTTTTTTGCACTTTTTAATAATTATTAATAAGACGAAAACGAATTCATGTTAAAAAATATTAACATAGACTTTATTCTAAAGCAATAATAATCTTAATAAAGCATATTTAACTCTTTTTTTTATCGGATGCATATTCCTTAATACATAGCATTAAATTCTATTGATTTGCATAACTTTTAAAAAACCTTTTATATGCTCACTTCTATTTAGGTAGTTTCCTTTATACGAATAAAAAATAAATTTATTCAAAGACTCGTTCGTATTAATCGAGTTGTGTTTGCGTAACTTAAACTACCAGATTATTAGCGATAGTTCTGATAATGAATGAAGAAACTTTTAAATCTTTTTTGTATTAAGTTTTTACTTTTTAATTCTGATTCCGATTTCAAATATTATTATAAGCAAACAAATTATTTTCTTTTATACCAAAAGACCAAAAAACTGTGCCCCCTTCTGTCGTGCCTAAAACGGTATAAAATTAGAGGTACCTGATTAACAGTATTGCATGTGTTTAATCCGCACGCGCTCAGTCTTTTAGCGATTTCTAGCGACTTTTAATCTTTGTCCATAGCTAGTGACATCTAAAGGCTTGTCAAACGTACCCTATAATGACTTTTTGACATTTCGTTCACTTTATCACAATTATAGTTATAATAATTTATAATGGTCTGTGGTAAGACTCAAATTGATTATGATTAAATGATTGTTTATATAAAATAATTCCTTAGTAACGTATTAATATTGTTTAACGTGTTGTTTTTGGTAAATCCATGTAAAAAGATAAAATTGGTAATTCAAAATTGTTTGTTTGAATGAATGTATTTAAATCGAGTACCTAATGGTCTCCTACGTGAAGTTGGCAGTATTGTGGTGACGCAAAGTGCCATTAAAATTAAGAAGAAGAAGAAGACATGTAGAGTGACAAACTAATATATAATCTGTGGACAACGCTGACTACCGCTTAGTCTCTCCATTCTCGTGTTTTTCTCACTTCGAGATGCTGGCAGAATTTCTGTGCATAACGGAGAACAAGGCCATGAAGGCCATAACAAAAAAAAAAACCCTGGTTGGCTGTATCATTGATACAGCCATATTTTATGCGTGGATACGTCTATGTATGAATGGATATATGAGTAATCGATAAAAAATAAATAAACAAATTGAAGACACTAAACACTAAATAAATAAATATTCGTTGCGTTCATTTGTTGAATGAAAAAAGTATTCACTAGTGCCAACAGATGGCGTTAGTGCATATACTCCTGCTGACAGAATGCCCCTCCCCCTGCAGAGCACGCATAGTTCACTTATACGCCAATAGATGGCGTTAGTGCATATACTCCTGCTCACAGAATGACCCCCCTGTAGAACGAAAACATAGACGTATCCACGTCAAAAAGTACATTTATAACGAAACGCAACATGTTTAGATACGTTTAATTAAATTTGAGGTTACACAAGTATCTTCTTCTTGGTCTGTGAGGTTACAGAACATAATTATTATAATTTGTGCGTGCACGGTTGGCATTGATCCAGATCTACCAACTTTTAAGTAGATCTACCTACTTTGCACTCAGTCTACTTGTCTACCAACCTAAGCCTTAAATCTACCTATTTTTGAAAAATTTGTAATATGTGTTTTTATTTTCTTAATTTGGATGGAAGGATGAGGCGGTATAGTTTTGTGTCTTAGCTCAACGGCGAATAAATAAATAAAAAAAACTTTTTTTTATTATAGTAAAAAACGCTTTTTTCACAATAATGCTAGTGTTTTTTGATCATAATTTTTTAAAGCTTCCTTTCAAAATTATTTTTTAAGTTTTTAGTTCGATGTTTTTTAAAAGCGTGTTTTTTAACTATGTTTATTTTTTACTATTTAGTTTTGTATACTATAAAAGCGTGTTTTTTGGTTTTCTTAACTATATTTATTTTATTTAAATAACATAAATTTTAATGTTCTGCGATTTCGGCGTTCTCTCTAGTCCTGAAGCTATAGCGCTTGACGGCGCGCCTCTTCCAGTTTGCTCCAACTTTCGGTATCTCGGTTCACTTATACAATGCGATGGCGAAATAGATCGGACAGTTACGCACAGAATTAACATAGGATGGATGAAATGGCGGCAGGTTACGGGAACCATTTGTAACCCCCGCATTCCCCTTAAACTGAAGGGGAAGATCATAAGACAATGGTCAGACCTGCTGTCCTGTATGAATCAGAATGTTGGGCCATAAAAGGGATGAATGAAAGACAACTGCATGCAGCTGAGATGAGAATGTTAAGAGGAATGTGTGGTGTTACGCGAATGGACAGAGTACGAAATGAGTATATTAGAGGAAGTTTGAAAGTGGCACCGGTAACCGAAAAGTTATGTGGAAACCAGTTATCGTGGTATGGCCATGTTATGCGAAAGGAGGAAGAAAATATTGTGAGAAAGGTTTTGAGCATGAACGTGGATGGCTATACAGGAAGAGGAAGACCGAAGAAACGATGGACGGATTGTGTGAAAGACGATATGGTGAGAAAAGAAGTTACTAGTGAGATGACGTCAGATAGGGAGATATGGAAGACAAAGTAATGCTGCGCCGACCCCAAATAAAATTGGGATAAGGGCAGGGGAATGATGAATATAAATTTTAATAATGGTAATAACAGTATTATTATAACCATTGTTATTCCTGTGCATATATATTGTATTAAGTTGCAATAAATATCTAACAAATTAATTTACAATATATGACTTAAGGAAAATAGTAATTTTGAATTACCGCTCATTTTGTCATCAGTGATATCTCATGAGAGATGACGAAGAGTTAACTTACCCGACTATGGTTGTAAAGGGTAAAGGTAAATCAGGGTTCGATTCCGGGGAGGGAGCCTCAAAATCAGCTACCAAGCCTCAGGAAAGCTGCATGCGCGCGCAAACAAGAGTTACAAACATACTGACATACAAGTGAAACTAATATAAGCGTGTTAAAAACCTACTAAATTAAAGTGGTAGATCTAGCGATTTTTATCTTGGATTCTACTAATTTCTACCGATGTTTGGCACATATTCTACTAATTTTCTAAAATAAAGGTTGACAGTAGTGATGTGCCAACTCGGAAAAAACAAAACTCGATTTAACTCCAGTTAAAATCCACATAGCTCGAGTTGAACTCGAATTACATAACTCGAGTTAACTGGATGGACAAGCAGTGGACAAGACTATAGCGAATGAGGCCCGTGGCAAATTCATCGGATATTCATTTTTTTTACTAATTGCGTAATAATAAATGTCAGGAGTAAGGAGTCTCCTCTAACCGGGGGTAATCTGAACTGAATTTGAACATTGTTAACACGCAACACATCCACTCACTGGCGATTCGAATACACCCCAAAATAAAGATTATCTTTTTCTCCCGGCATTTTTTAAGAACAAAACGTAAAACAGCAAAGTTTACAACGATAACCGGCAGTTTAAAATTAACCTCAAATCTACATAATATATTATTATGTGACAATTGTTTGTGATGAACAAGTGGTCGGAATTAGGTAGAGTTAGGGCCAGTTTTTTGATCCGTAGTCAAATGTCATTTCACCATTTGTTAACTTGACTATAGTTAAAACAATAACAAGTTGTTAACTCGCTATTTCGTTTCTTGATGCCAAATTTAACCATAGTCAAATTTAACCACTGGCCAATTTGTTGCCAGCACAATGAGTCGTTTTTTCGCTATACATTGACATGGGTAATTTTTTTCTGGGTGACAACACTAACGGTTTGAATGAACGGAGCGAACTATATACCATTTTTGACATTAGGATTTTGTTCTAAATATCAAATAGACGAAAGAAAAAATCTATAGATTATTAAGCAATGTGGATGTTTATGGTTGTTCTGTTGTGTGCACTATGTGTTATTTTTCAGGAAGTATAAGGCTATTTCTTCAATAATGTTATAAAGCAACAAAGATATGTTTTTTCCAGTTATTTTAAACTTAACTTTTTATAAAAAGCATATATTTGTTTTTTATTTATCCTATAGAGAAAAACGTGAAAAGAATATAGTATCTAGTATCCAAGGTGGGATTGTAACGTTGGAATATAAATCGAGGACTATGTATTTTATGTACTGTAGGCATATTTACCTTTTGTATTGTCTATTTGTGGAATTTATAAGATTAATAATTGAATAATTTGGCATCTGCCCGTGGAAACAAGAAACATTATTTCTATTTAGTTTAAATATACTAAGGATGATCAAGATAAAAATATAACTTATTTTCAATAACCCTATAACCAAAAAATGACAATGAATATTTTCCTATGAAATTTCATCATAAAACGAAATCCCAAAAATAGCTAATGTTCAAATTCACTATGAAATGTAGGTTAAAAACAACGTAAAAAACAATAACAAGGGACCAAGTAAATACAACGCAGTTGTCCATCTGTTCTTTTAACAATTGGTCATTTACTTAACCTAGCTTCCAGTGATGGTTAAATTTTTTGACAAATGGTTGTAATTCTGACAATTGGTTAGGCTAACTATTAATCAAAAAACATATTTTTCTAATATTTAACCATTTGTCAAAGATTTTAACAAATGGTTGAGTTAACCACGGATCAAAAAACTGGCTCTTAGAGAGAATTCAACTCGAGTGGGTTCGAGTTACGCCTAACTCGAGTTGGCATCGCTAGTTGACAGCACCGGTTGGTATACTATCGAGATCGAGATATGACATGAAGCGATAATTACTTAATTCACATTTCAAGAGACCGTTTTATTAATTACTGTGATATGTAAATCTACATGGAGTTTTTTAACAAAAATGGATTGTTCTTTTGTAGACATCACTACTGAATTTCTCGCTGTTGCATTTCATACAATTTTGTATTATTCTCATATTTATCCCAACAGTATTTTTGAAACGAGACGAAAATATAATGTTGTTGTATACAATTGTATTCATCCCGAAGTGAGCCAGTACATAAGTTTATGTCTGAAGTCTGTAAGAGAATGTCTCAAGAGTGGACAATTGAGACGTGTAGTTTTTGCTATTACAAACGATGCTTATGAACCAGTGATAAAATTTGTCTTTGATGTTTTTAAGTCTGATCATTTTGATGAAACAAATGATGCATATTTAATTCAGACTGAGCAAAATTTACGAGCATTTTGTCTTCACTTATCATCGAATGTTGACAAATTAAAATGTTTACCAGATGATTGCAGTTTTACTGTTTATATCCATACAAATGAAACTATGGCAGTATCTTTATCTGTGGCTCCAGACTCTGAAGAATTTCCTTTAGTTGAAATTTGTGAAATTAACAAGGAGAATGAAGCTATAATTCCATTAAGAAGTTTTAGTATCAGAAATCATTCTATAGAAAGTTATATTGAACTCTAATGTTTTTTGTTTAGATCAGTGTAGTATCAAAAAGAAAAAGAAATATATATATATATATATAACTCAAAAAAAGTTTAAACAAAAGTAAAAATAAGAAAAAACTTATGCTTTATCAAATTCTATTAAAAAGGTTTTATAATATTTTGGTTTTTATTGTAGATAAGAAATACTTTAAATATAACAAATTAATATAGAATTTTGTGGAAAGGTTACCTGTCAGTAATAATAACCCACACAACAGGATTTGATTTTTTGACATAGCATGGTATCTATCGCAGCCCCTATAGTTTTCATATTGATGTCATATAGACTTTGTTGTCACTTGTTTATCACTCAGGATAGACAAAACTACCAATTGTGTGACAGAACATTTGTTATGTTACACCCTCCCAAAACATGGTTTGTCAACTGATTCTTTGCAAAATTTGTGAATAATTTTCAACAATAGTGGAACATTCTTTATAAGCTTTAGTATATTTTAGTGCTTAAAAAGATATATATTAATTTAGACTCCATCCACTTTTTTTGATTTGACTATGAGACAGCGTAGTCGGGAATATATCTCATCCCAGTCTATGTAAGCACCAATGAGCCTCCTCACATTGTTGTTGCTATCTTCATAGGCACTTCGACCATGTAACATTCTAGTATTATTGAACACAAGTATATCACCAATTTTCGTTTTGAAACTAGCAGAAAATTGGTTACTGAGATTTAAAAACATCTTATGAGCGTAATACCAGGGAATTACTTTTTCTATCGGTTCAGGAAAATAGCTGCCTCTTTGTGGTATAGAAAAATTGACACGATATAATTTGTTATGTTTGTCCATACAGAATACCGGCGCTCGGTACAACTTGAAGAATTCGTTTCCGGCTTCAACGCCGATGTCACTCCATTCTACTTCCACTTCTGCTAGGATTTTAAATTGATCAGGATGATGTTTTCTCATGTATTTCGCGACGTAGAAGCTGTCTGATAGTAAATTTTCTCCACCGTAACTTTCGGTTTGCACGAGGCAATGAAGCAGAGTGGTCCCTGGGCAATACTCGTAATAGGGTAGGTCTAGATGTAGGGGCAAGTTGCCGGATAAGTATGCCACGTTACTTGTATCCTGTACACTCTGAACCACAAACTTGACTCCATAATGTGTTGTTTTGGGAAACGCAACTCTCGCAATGACGTCATCAATAGCATTTTCAGAATTTGGTGTATTCTGAATTAACGTTACACCATAAACAGAAAGATTGTAAAGCCAATCGTACAGAATACTATCAGACTCTAGTATTTCTTTGTATTCGAATCTCTTCAATATCCCGTTGAAAGTTTCTTTGCTCCAAGTTTTCTGCGTAGGTCTGTAAATAGCCTCGTCATATTTTAGTCGATTTTCACGCGTGAAACTTCTGAATTTCAACCAATCGAGTTTGTAAACGGATCTGTGGTCGTCTGACCATGTTATTTCTATTGTGTTTTCTTTACGTAACACTCCTTTGGGTTTGATGTCGAGATCGAATTTGCTCCAGTCAAAAATTCTGCTTTTAGCGGATGAATGGAAACACTGTTCACACTGACAGTTGTCTCTCAGCCACACGTGAGGGAACTTTAAATTATCTCCGGCTATTTCCACTTTTAAATAATCGTGAAGGAACCGTTCCAGTGAAACATTATGGATCCTCGGTAATCTATTTGTAACTAATTGTTTTATAACATACATTATTGTTACAGCTCTAGTTATACTGTGCTGTGCCGCGCACAGATTGATAAATAATATTCGTAATGACATAAGTGTTAGGTAAATGAATGGATGTGAGCTTCTCTGATAACCAGTGATAATAGTTGATTGACATTTTAATTAACTACGACAAACATACATATCTGTTGAGAAACAAGGTCGTTCTACTTTGGTTGATTCAGATAAATCAGTAGTTATACAGAGATGTAATGGTTCAGTAATCATACACATAAATATAATAACTTGTATAATTTATTCTACATATTTCATAAAAACACAAATAACAACCATTTTGTTCACAAATACAGTGCTTCTTTTAACATGAAATAAAAATAAACTTATCATTAATAAACGGACGAGTTTTGCGTTATATAATATTATAAAACTCGCATGTACGGCTTTAACAACGAAGAGCCCCATAATTTTTTTGCAAGATTTCCGCAATTCGGTTACAGCAACAGGAAAATCTTACGTTGATTGAACTGATTTATTAATATCGAATTGTTGATTTTAAACTTCTACAATATTACCATTTTTATAAAGAGCATCGATAATGTTCGCAGAAAAATGCGAGCTAAAGTCAATGGAGTATAATTACTCGAGTATGACCTTGAAATTTAGGCTTTAATGCGTTACTTTAAGGTTCAATTGATACTGTAACCTGCCACTGTCGACATGTCACGCGAACATGCTGCGTATGCATCACTAATAGCAGACAAAAACAATTCGCTCGCAAACTTTACGAGCGGCTAAGGTTTTACTTTGAAAAATTAAATTTCTTTGCGTCTTACAAACACGATTCTACTGTATTACAAACTGCTACAAAAATGTTTCTGAATTAACTCGATATTTTTATTTTGATCTTGTGGTAGGCGTTGGCGAGTATCCCGCGTATGTTCCATATGTCGTCGAAATTCTCCGGTTGCGTGTTGAAGTTGCTGTCCGTCGCTTTCACCCAGATTTCCATCTATCGATAATTTAAATAAATATAAGATAACGTTACATACTACGCGAGCGAATCGACCACGACATTCAGGAGGCAAAACGCTAATATTATGCAACAGTTAACAGAGTATCTTGCTTCCGATGAGAAATTTTCCGAAGTTTTCCTCGGGGACAAATACGAGGGTCAAACTGAAAGTTCTTAGAACTGGCCACTTATAAACAATATAATAAAAAAATAATTCTAAAATTTGAAAATATAACTCTTTGCCAATATTACTGAGTATATATTTCATTCATTTGTCATTTGTTTTACGATTTGGCGGCAAATTGAAAATTGTCTGTGTCACGTCATCATGAATTTAACACGAGAAAATTTTCGTGCAATGATTTTTTATGACTTTCGATGTCATTTAAGTCAACAAGAAAGTTATGATAGACTACGATTGGCCTTTCACGATGAAGCCCCATCTCGTGCGACTGTTTACAACTGGTTTAATGAGTTTAAACGTGGTCGCACTAATCTCACTGATGATTTACGTGAGGGACGGCCTTCTACGGCGACGACTGAAGATAACATCTGTGTTGTGCGGCGTATGATAGAGACTGACAAAAGAGTGACCTATCAACAGATTCGGACAAGCTTAGGCATCGGTATGAGTCAAGTGCACAAAATCCTCCACGAACATTTAGCGGTCAGGAAGCTTTGCGCCCGGTGGATACCTCATAATTTGACTGAGGCTCAAAAACTCCATCGTGTGGATTGGTGTCGTAAAATGATTGAAAGATTTAACGGAGGTGACTCAAATGCTGTGTTCGACATACTAACAGGTGACGAAAGCTGGATTTACTGTTATGATCCTAAAACCAAAAGACAATCTGCTCAGTGGGTGTTTCCTTTCGAGGAGTTGCCAACTAAAGTGAAGAGAGATCGAAGTGCGGGAAAAAAAATGGTGGCCTCGTTCTTTGGAAGGATAGGTCATTTTGCAACAATTGTGTTAGAGGATCAAAAAACAGTTTCTGCAGAATGGTACACTACCAATTGTTTGCCACTTGTCTTGGAAAAAGTTCGAGAGAAACGACCTCGCAGTAGGATCCTCCTTCACCACGACAACGCCTCGTCGCACACCGCCAAGCGAACGATCGACTATTTGGCGACATCAAACGTTGAATTACTGGGTCACCCGCCGTATAGCCCCGACCTCGCGCCTTGTGATTTTTATTTATTTCCAAAAATTAAAGAAAAACTTAAAGGAAAGCGGTTTATGAATGCTGAAGAAGCGGTGGCTGCGTATCGCGATGCCATTGAAGAGACCCCTAAGGACGAGTGGGCAAAGTGCTTTTCCCAGTGGTTCCATCGCATGCAGCGGTGTATTGACGTGAATGGACAATATTTTGAAAAGATATAATAAAACTAATAACTGGCTAATGTAATCAGTTTTTGATTTTCTAAGAACTTTCAGTTTGACCCTCGTAGAATAGGATTTTAACCCGCTTACTCTTAAACGCAATCGCGATCGATCGATATCGTAATCGTAACGCTCCGTACTTTCGATTCAGGCACTAGCGCCGATCAGATTCAATACTGCGTGGGTGCTGAACGACCTGTAATCGACACCGAGGGACTATCGAGTCTGTGTTTCAAGATTACGAGCTAAGATTTGATAAGAATTGAGATCATTCCTGGACCGGATCGAAATTGATATGGAGATCGCGTTCAAGAGGAAGCCCGCCGGTGGTCCGTCGATCTGCTCAGATTTCATGACGAGGAGCCGAAACATTCTTACTAGTCCAGGAGGACGACGAGGACGTGGGGCTGGATTCGGCGGGCTCCTCGCCGGAGAGTGGCCTCGTAAAGGGTTTTAGGACGGTTCCCTGCGTCATCGGCATGTCTCACCTCTGCGCCCGGCGCGTGGGCGGGGGGCACGGGCAGGCGGACGCTCCACAGCGTCCAGGCGTAGTAGCGGGGCGGGGGCGGAGGCGGGGGCGCGATGGGGGCGGTACCGGGGCCGCGCTGCAGACGGGCGGAGTGCCAGGTGCGGCCGCGGTCGCAGCTCACGTCCACGCGCAGCACCGCGGCGCCGCCCCCCGAGTACGCGTACCCTGCGTCACACAGTACCGGCCAGATAATAATTAGTCGAATTAGTTTCCGAACGGTTTCGGACTGAGTCTATTCGATTCTTTTGAGCGTTCCATATTTCCTATCTTTTTTTCACTTTTAGGATTCGAAACTTCCCAGTGTTCGGTTCCAAAAACGGAACCCTCGTAGGATCTCATTGTGACCGAACTGAAGCTAATTTTAGAGACAAAGTTCAGGAGAGTCATATTTATTTGAAATTATTTTAAGTGAGCATCTCACATCACTAATCTCACGTCGTTTATACCTATAGTTGGAGAAGGTGGAGATGTTTGCAGAATTTTATGTATTCTTTGAAGGTATAAGGACAACACAAAAATATCACAAAATTCAACGAAGCTATTCAATACGGTTAATGTAGCACAGATTCCAGATGTCTGATCTGTATTCAAAGACACTTCTACAAAAGTAGTAATTTATATTATTAGAATTCCTATTTTGATAATTGACGATTATTTTTTTATAGGAATGTTGACAGAAGAGAAACAAAACAAAAAACCTATCTAATATTTTACTAATGTCGGGTTGATAGACTAATAATTTCTTTTTTTTTTTATACCCAGACATCATTCCCATTTCAGCTCTTCACTAAATTACTACTTAAGGCTCATTCACTGTCATAGGCGTAGCTGACCATAATTTTAAAAATATATTTAAAATTATAAACATCCTATAACATAATAGCGTAGTAACACATTTCACTTTAATTTAAACGTTATTTATGTATACTTTATGTAAATTGTATAAAATAAATTTAACTTAAATTAAATTTCGATATTTTATCAGAGTGGGAAACGCCTTGTAAATGGTTGCAACTCCGATGATGTCACACGCTAGTAAATATGGCTTCCTGTTAAAGATTGTAACATGATGAGGTTTGTTTATTTACTAGTGTGTGACGTCATACGCGGCGTATGAGAAACAGCGTTTTTCAAGTGACTTAGGTAATTTAAATTTTAACTTTGATTATTATTGATAAATACAGTAAATTTTCCCAACATATTACTGTAATGTGCTTATTATTTATTTATTTATTAAATTTTTGGAAGACTTACAGCTATACAATGAAAAATCTTATAAAACTATAATAAAGACAAAAAGCCAATTAAAAGTCCCCACCATTAGTAACATACTACTCTTAATATGTATTACAATAGCCATTAAATTAATCACGCACGCACATACACCTAGTACCCAGCTATAACAAAATCGGTAGTTAATGATATATAGGTATTACATGGTACTCACAAATCGTTGAAGAACATACTGCTTAAAATACGCCTTGCCGAAACCTCGCTAGTGTCGATGAGATCTAAGTTAGCCTGCCTTGATAGGTCATTGAAATTGTTAAGAGCTCGCCAAAGATATGCATTTTGTCTATAATTGGTAGAAACGGGAGGGATATATAAAAGAGAATTGAATCTGAGGGGCTTTGTTGGGGTTCTAAGAAAAATTTTGGAAACTAATTCAGGACAATCAATTACACCAGATGCAATTTTCATTAAATATACAACGTCTGCAATCTCACGGCGCCTTTCCAATGGGAGCAGATGATGTTTTTTGCAAAGATCCAAATAGCGTCTCGAGTCATAATGATCCTTAGTGCGAAAACAGAGATATCTCAAAAATCTCCTCTGTATAGACTCAATGCGCATTATACATATGTATCGTATCTAGGATTCCAGATTTGGGATGCATACTCAAGATGACTACGGACAAATGTACAATACAATATTTTCAGTGTCTTTGCTTTAGTGAAATCCCCAGAATTACGCATCACAAATCCAAGGGCTTTTGAGGCCTTAGAAATGATGTTATCAACATGCCTTTCAAAAATGAGCTTATTATCATGGAGCACTCCTAGGTCCCTGACAACAGTTTCCCGACTTAACTTTGTTTTTTACCGTGTAGTCAAAGTGGACCAATTCTTTCTTACGGCTATATGTGACGACATTGCACTTAGATGGATTGAGATCCAGATAATTATCGATACAGTAATTATCGAGCCTCAGTAAGTCAGTAAGAGACTGGTGCAACGATTTTCATGTCGTCTGTGAACCATAGAA